CCCCAAAACCCCAAAACCCCAAAACCCCATTTATTTGGAAAATACTTGAATACATTCAAATTTTATAAATTCTATTCTGTTTTGTCCCTTGCCATCTGCTTCATCACTAATGCATATGCTTGAGACTGACTTGGAGCTTTATATCAGAATCTTGAGACAAGAGCTTTACAAGAATTTCTCTTGGCTTGTGGAAGTTTATTAGAAGAGTAATTCATTTCAGCTACATAATTCCCCTCTAAAAGTTCTGCTTTCTCAGTTTCGTCAACTATAGAGTCATTGGTAGTTCTGTATTTTCTCATTTTAGGTATTTCATCTCCAGTAGCTCCTCCAGTGGCTACTAGAATTTCTGAATCTAAAAAGGAGCCAAGGGTATTATTAAGAGTGTTTTCTTTATTGCTTCTTTCCCCTTCATTTGTAAATCTAGTCTGCCTTCCTGCGACTCCTCATAGAAGTTTGATAGCATGTGTAATAAACAGGAGGAATACGAAGATAAAGAAGAAGCCACCGAATAAAAATACCAAAATTACTAGTACTATGTGCACAGGCTTTAGGGAATTTGTACGGAGATCTGCCCACGGATGGTTCATGAAATCTTTGTGGAAGTTTAAAGATAAGATAATGAACAACTCTATTAGCAGGATTATTAGGAACAACAGAAAACATACAAAAGGCAAATGGTTCCTGGAACCTACTCAATTATTTAGGTAGGGACAATGATGATCGAACTTCTCAACTCAATGGTTTCATAAGTTACAGTGTCGTGAGTTTGGTGTCCTGATGACATTTCAATCTGGACATAAATATACTGGATCAAGCTTATTTAACAAATTCTGAAAATCATATTTTGATTTTAAAAATCCTGGATCAACTGCAGAGGAGATAACAAAGAATATCATCATTATTCAGTGGAGTATGATGAAGAAAATTGTGTGAAAGTCAAAGCCTCTGAATGGCAAAGCGAATACTCCAGCTATAATCACTTCAGCCAGGATTAGAAACAAGAAACTTATAAGAGTCTTGTAATTTTTGGTTAATTTTTGCATTGGCATTTTTATTAACATTCAAGTGCAGAATCTTGGTTTATTTTAAGATCCTAGAAGTAAATTTCCCCATCTTACTTTAAGAGTTCGGATAGCATCGGTGTTTCAGTGACTACATCAATAGGTTTCTTACCATCATTATTTACATTGTCTCTTGAAGCTCCTCTTAACAATAAAATTCTAGTCAATCGGGTATTATTCTCCTTTTCTGCAAAATGGATGCTCAAGTGTAAGGGAGTATTGCCTAAATCATCTGGGAGATTGATATCTGATCCCCAAGATATGAGATAAGTAGCAGAGATTTCATTCCCATCAACAACTGACCAATGGAGAGGAGTTAGGCCTTTAGTGTCAGGCTGATCAATTGCCATTGAATAATTCTCCAAAAAGTAATATATTACATTAACTGCATCCCCTTCTGCTGCAGAATGTAATACTGTAAGTCCCTCGTCTGTTGTAAGAAATGGATCGGCTCCATTAGCTCAGAGTAATTTAATTAATTTAAGATTTCCTTTGAATCAGGCAAGATGTAAAGAGGCACATCCGAAATCATCTTTTCTGTTAATATACTCGTTTGCAATGTCACTTCCAAAATTTCCATTGTCTATACCATCTTTTCTGAGATATTCATTAATTAAATCATGTTCAGAATCATTTCCCTTCAAAACTCTATCAATAATAGTTTTAGCTAACTCAAGATTTTCCAGTTCGCAGCAGATCATGAGTAAGGATTTATGAGTAGAAGGGTATTTTAGATTATAATAGATATCAAAAGTCGAGAAGACCTCATCGTCTTGAGGCTCAAGCAGAGGGCGATGGTCATCATGGATAATAGAGTTATTTCTGCTATAGCTTTCATCCCTGCTAATAATCCTACTTTTGAACGTCCTCTTTATGATGGAATTGACAGAGCTTTTAAGAGAGTCCATTTCATTCTCATCTAATCTTTCCCAATTGTCTTCCATTATTTTCTAATTAGTTTGTATATTTTTAATAAGGAAGGGGTTTTGGGGTTTTGGGGTTTTGGGGTTTTGGGG